AATAATAATAATAAATCACGATGGCTCTGATAGGGGGGGTTGCAACCCCCAAAACCCTCCCCTAGATCCGCCACTGCAAACCTCTCGGTCTTTTGATCAGGCCAGAGTAGAAATAAAGTTGGTGTTTAAACTTTGATAGTCTAATCCAGGATAACCTTTTATCAAAACCTTGTGTCACTCGTGCAAATGTGATCTAGTCTGAAAAAGGAATAACGTTTTTGAGTTCTCAGTACGAATCTCACGCTTTTGCCAAGGAATAGAATAACTGAAAACATAAACGAATACTTTTTGATATTAACAGCGCAATGAGTGCAACTGGTCTGAAAGTCATTTTTTCAACTGCGCAAATGTGTTCCTATTCGAGTAGGAGCAACTAACTGAGAAAAGTCAACCATAAAGGCTAAATTTCTTTCAATGTACCGATCGATCACTCTATTTTATGACCAAATAGTTGTTTGTGACTTGAAGGCAAAGTCTCTAGGCTCAATATCGACGGTAAAACAGCTTCATAACAGTTTTTGTGCTTTTAATTGAAAAGAAGCGGCGCGAATAACTCCTTATTCCAAACCGGACGAGGAATAACTCACTTCAACGTGTTTATTGTGTTGATTTAGCTTCGTATAGGAGACAATTTCTGGATGTCTCGCATATTCTGCCCATCTTCCACGTTTCTGGTTACCACCAATTTGTCTGAAGATCTCTTACTCAAGAGGATTTGTTCATATGGCACTTATTAAGGCAAGATGTTAGTTAGCCTTCATAAGGAAGTCAAGATTGGGCGAGGTCAGTTTCGTAAGCATGCTGCACCTTTCCGGATCGTACTCGTCTTTTACAAACTCAAAATACTGTCAATCTTTTCGATGTTTTTTCCCCTTAAATAGAATTGTTATTCTTCCGGTCTTTGGATTTTGTCATATGTGTTTTTAGGTTTTTCTCTCTAGAGGAAGGGAGCAGTGATTTCTTTTGAAGTGACGTAGGTTTAAGTATGTTTTATGAATTAATGCACGAAGTAGTAAGAATAAAAAAATACTTGCGCAGGAAACATATTGTTTAGATTATAAGATGTGCTGAAAGGTCATAGTATTTGTATGTAGTTTAAGAAGCAAGGGGTGGCATAGCGGTTAGAGCCGCGCTCGCCTCTCACAAGTGCGACCCACCGGGCTCCGTGTTGTTTGTGAGAAGAGTTTGTTGGTTCTCTACTGTTCTTCGGGACTTTTCTTCCTCCCCCGCAAAAATCAACTCCTAATTTCAAATTAGATAAAAAGCTACTCTGTCGAAAGGCCACTGACAAAACCTTTTTTTAAATATGAACTGAACATAGCTCATGATAAAAATAGACTGATCTGGCTGTTCATAGTTTAGGAGCAGATATGTCATAATTGGCTTAGCGATGCTTGTTGATGCTTGACCAAGGTTCGATATCAAGAGAACCTTATTCTCCTTTTATCAGTATCAACAATGAAAACTACTTTTATGCTTTAGTAACAGATTCTCTGAGCCAATACAGCTAGCAACAAGTAAGCAAAAGAGCAACTTGAATCCCTTGGAGCATAATAAACAAAACAGAACAAAGTAGAAAAACATGGTTAAAGGCAAAAAAATAATGCTAGCCAAAATGAAAGATGCCTTGGCTAGGATTGTAATAAACAAATCGAATTATTTGTTACACACGGAACTTTTGAATCAACACTTGAAACGCCTTCTGAAGCACTCGCTATCTTGCTAGACTCCGTTCTTTATGGAATTCAATAAGAGCCACCATAGGAATAAGAACGAATCCGTCTTAATTACTATCATAATCTATTACCTAAATCATTAAGTGCATTCTTAGTTGTTTCATCCCAGTAACTGAGATTCTTGCATTTTTCCCTTTGAATACCGGTTAAAAAGAGCCAACTTACTCGGTTACTTCACTACAAACGCCTTGTAAATATTTTGATGACAAAGATAGTTATCTAGAGTTAACGGATATTTCATTGTTTTTCCAAGTATGACTTCACTGGTGTCTTGTTATCTTTCACGAAGTCAGAAAAAACCTGTGACTCTATCGAGTGGACATTCCATAGCTATTATTTGGCATTTTGAAGGCCCGACATGATTAGGAATCCACGGCCCTCCTGGGGTCTTGTTAAGGACTTTACTTCAGTTACTTAGCCAATAGAAATCCATTAAAGGAACCTTGTACTTCATTAAATATCAAAGAACTATTCAAAACGGAATTGATATTGGTTTGAAATCAAAGCTAAATGCTAATGGTTTAATACAGGATGAATAATAACATTAAAACGTACCTGGCATACACACGAAATACAAGGGTTTCCCGCCAGTATGGTGAGGCTGCGATCCACATCGTGTTGATTTGTACAGCTAGCAAGACTCCCTTAAGTCAACAAATCACCATCAGACAATACTTTCACAAAATACTCCACGTGTTGTGTACTTTAACTAAACCTTAGAATAGCTACTGAGCAAAGCAAAGATGCACTTAAACTAGACCTCTTACCTTGCAAGGGTTCTGAATTAGCCCGCACTAGAACAAGAGAGATGTCCAACAGAGAGACTAGCCATACCATGGAAACGGCCAATTTTGTGCTTGCTGGTAAGGTGTTCATTTTGTACTGCTAGAAGCGATAGTTAATACGTAATCGAGAGAGCGTTTGATTCAAGCTGATGTGACGTTTATCTAAGTATGATTGTTTCTAATAAGAAGCAGGGTATCTATCGACTAAATAGCGACAAGTGAGGTTGCGTCATGGCGAAGAGGGAGGAGAATAGGCTTGATCGATGAGCGAGATGCATAGGTTCCACGCGACATCTAAAGGATAAACACTATTAAAGAATTTCTGCTTTGTATTCCTCCTTCTGGACCAGTAATTGAACCTGAAGATCAAAAGAAATCAGCCAACCTTCACGGATGACATTTCTTCACAAAAATCCTTTCAATACGCACAAAGTTCCAAGAGATTCCCCTTGAAAAAACAAAAACCATTGAAAAACGTGGCAACCGGCTGTAGGAGAATCGTGTTTAGTGTCGACCAACCAGAATGATTCAACTCGGATTCCGGATCCACTCAGTTTTACCGATGCATTGTCCTTCACTTAAGTTCACCAAGTGTCATGTGTAATTGATCGCATTGTCAAGGAGAAAACTGCAACGTGCTTCAAAAAATGGCGCTTATTTTGAACTTCTTGACTCCAACATTCTTTCACTCAATCCTCGCTTCCTGCTTCATGTCTTAAGATAGCTTGCTCACAACTCTTAAACGCGAAAAAATATGCAGTTTCTGGGCCTTTGATTTACATGGCGCCTATTCACTTCATTAATAAGCATTAGGTTTTTCAATAAGCTTGGTCATGGAGGCGCCGCAATGACTACGTCCAATAAAAGCAAATTAGAATGACTTGTGAAGAGATAAAAACTTTCTAATGTGTTCTGTTTGTCAATAGAGATTAGGCCCTGATTTGTGCCACGATAAAACAAATGAAAAACAAGTGCTTACGAAGATAGATGGCTTAGATATGGTATTAGCCTAAGGCGAGAGGACAAGACGAAAGGACAAGACGAACAGTTTATTGATGTACTTAGTACACGAGAATGCAGTTTATCGTCATACAACTTTTAAGTAATATGCTAACGAGCCCAGCTTATCTTGTCGGTAATTTTTCATTCAGAGTTGCTAGCCGTATAGACTACAAGTGAACAATCGTACTCACTCGAGGGCAGTCGCCAGTATGTCTTACACGTTGGAGCCCCCATAAACACTCTGCTGATCGGCTCTGATATCTTTATTAATATGTAAGTGTAGACGTTTATTGTTTGTTAATGAGGTGCTAAAAAACCATGCTCTTTTAACCTAATTAAAGCAGATTTGGAGATCTTATTAGAATCAATTTTCAATCAGACATGAGAAGTTTAAATAAAAGTTATGTACGAGCGGTGTGATATTCACTATGTAATCTGTTGATCAAAAAATCCACCAACTACGACGTGTGCAATATCCTGTCTGGCCTAGAACGAAACTAAAAAGACTTTGAACTAATTTATTAGTCTTAGCTTTACTCAAATCGTACATATTGTTAGAGAAATACTGTACATTTTTTTGTACGTTGAAAAATAAAAGCGTTCTATTGTGCGTGTAACGAAAGCTTAATCCTTTCGGAAAACTCTTTTATAGTCTATAAATTGTACTTTCCAAAGTCTAGTGGTGAGATAGGAGTACTAAAATAGCCACATAAATAACTCCTATTATACTCAGATACGACACAAAACTGAAAAAGAAAATGTAGATAATTCACCATTGATAACATAAATCCACAATTGAAGTATAGTTTACAGTAATTCGCAAGAGTTTGTTGTCGTATCGCTAGATCATACATGGCCACCTTCTTCAGTTCTTATCTCGGGTTTGCACGAACTTCTATTAAAAAGAACTCAAGGAAATCAAGTGGTTCAAACTGCTGTGACATTTCAAGTTGCTGTTGTTTAGAACCTTCTACTTCGTTGCGTGTAAAACTAACCTCATTTCCTATCAACTTATCTTTGGTGTAGAGCAAAGACCGGATCTTGCCGAGCGGGTTTTTCATAGCCAGTATCGCTGATAAAATATAGCACCTGTATATTACTGATGAGTCCGCTCGGTACGCACGCAACGGTATACTCATGTATGATTGGTAATCCTTGAAAATGATTAATCAATTACGAGTTATTTTTATTCTCTGGTCTAAGTATTCATCTTCTCTCGTCTCAACATTTGTTCTCTTGCAAGAACTTGTATGGATTTGCGCGCCTATACTCCCTCTGTCTTATGATTCGAGTTCACTTTCCATCGTTAACCCAAAAGTAACTCTGTTTACAATAAAAAAGCCCAGGTAATCCGTTGATGCAACAGCAGTATGTTAATGCTTAAATAGCTGAGCTCCACATCGCACGAATCCAATATTCTCTAAGCCGGTGCCCGTCGGTCTGTCTGCCTGTTTCCGCCCAACTTCATTCTACTCGCTCCTCTATACTAAAACAGAGTTATTTATAACGGTGATTATACCAGCACTCAATATCAGGCGAATCCTAGCAATTGTTTCGTTTTTTTGGTGCAAGGTTCTTATGTATTTTGAAACACATTATGTGCATTCTTTCGTCACTGGTACAGAGGACTGAACATTCCTGTAGCAAAGATTCTACGGTCCCCACCCCCCCCCCCCTCGTTATTACATGTACGTCAGTCAAACGACAGTGGGTGGATCTAGTGATTTAGGATAGGAAATCTTTAGCACATGTTGAGTATTTCTTTTGTATTTCATACGAAATTGTACTTTTATTGTACCGTGCTACAAATACTACCATTGTGTCCATTGTCGTTTTTATCTATTGTCATCACACGAAAAGGACACTAAGGCCCGGTTCATACGTCGAACTTTTCATGAACCGAACCTAAAACGTTGAAGATCGACCAAAGATCGTCAAATATCTACTTTTGATTCAGACGTCGTACCAAATTCAGTCGATCCAATTAGATTTTTCCAAGTCAAGCATTTAGGACAGCGGTTAACATACAGTAATATAGAAATCAGACTCTTCCGCAGCGCCGCAGTCCCCCGCTCGGCCATCCTATACTTCTTCCTGCAACCCAAACAGGCTGTTCTTCATCGCTTTCAAAACATGAACACTTATTGCATATTGGTATTTCACAGGAAATACAAACGTATTTCGTGGTTGCAAAACACGAATCACACATATCATCAGACGCCATTTTGCTTTCCCGGGATCCAGAACCAGCTGCCGAGCCTCTCATATAACTGTTTATGCGCACGCACAACTCATGATAAACCTGCTTGCCTCCGTTCATGAAAAGTTCGTCGTTTGAATCATAGTAGCTCCGAAGTCGTAATTCCCGACCGCTTCAGTCGATCTTAACGATTGGTTCGATCTCAATGTTATGGTCGAACTTAATTGGTTCAGACGTCGTACTTTTCAAGGTCTTAATTCTTAGCATTTGGTTCGGCCCATGAAAAGTTCGACGTATGAACCGGGCCTAAGGTATGCTATGAAACTTCTTCATGACATTACACAACCATAGTACAACACACTACGCCTAACTACACCACATGCACAACACACACATTCAATCAACAGCATACCTTAAATAACACCATACCATAGTACAACACACTA